AAACAGTTTGGATATAAGTTTACCACAACATTAGCTTGCAACACTAGTCTCCTATGGGAATAGCCCACCGACTAACCTCCAAACACTAAGTCCTTTTAATACTCAATTAGGAAACTAAGTTCTTGACCTTGTACTTTACTCGATCAGTCTCTTTATACATGTATGTCTCGACCTTGTCCACATATAGATGTTACATAAAACCTATAAGAGACAACTTAAAACAACTATCTATTTAGAAGTCAACTTACTAAAGGGTTTCAACTCAAGCTTTTAAAGCACCGCAAATTATATCTACACAATGAGATATTTTAATTTCTAAAACAATTTTTTACTCTCCTCTAATTTTTATGTATATCAACAAAGACATGTATATGCACCAATGCCTACAACATAACAACTTACTCAACTATAATAGCATACAACTTCACAACTTAATCATCTATCAACTTACATCTTAATTGCATAAACATCGTCGATTAGTATATTAACTCAAAATATAAGAGCTATCATCATATCATCTTCAACATACAACTTAATCATTATCCTTCATTCATAAAACAATTTAAATAACATATCAAAATCATACAACTCATGTTCGATGCCATTGAGGCTTAGGGCTTCCTATCTTGTCCACACTTGGTGCCAAACTACCCCCATTCAATGTGGTTGATGTAGAGAGTCTCTCATTTTCTCGTGCCTAACATAGCAAAAGTCCACACCTAGCCCCAACCAAGTAGAAGGCCTCTGCCTTACTCACATCCAGTGCTACTCTTCTAACACCTAATATGGATCCAGGTAGGGACAATTCTTTCTCCTCATGCCTAATGCCATACAAATCCATGCCCAACGTGAACAATTTAGAGGCAATTATCTCTCCTCATGCCCGATGTGAGCGAGATAGAACACCCTTGATTTGAGTCACACTTGGTGCTTTGAAGGTGCACCCCACATGATGAGAATTTTTGCGCTTTGCAAAACTTCGTTTGCCCAAACCACTTGAAATTCAGCCAAAAAATCACATGCAACTAGATACACAACATATAGGAAACATATAAAACTCAAAAACAACTCCAAAAGCAACAAGCAACCAAAGGTTTACAAGAATCATCAAATACTCTTCATAAGCAACAATTCAAGAAACTCCACTTCATAAATCTTCATCATATGATTTAACCAATAACAACTACAAATCAATGATTTATAGGCAACAATGAAACATCATCCACCAATAATGATTCGAAAACTAGTTTCCATTGCCTCTAGCTACTCCAAGGAGAAGATAAGAGGAAAAATAAAAAACTTTTCGCATGATTTTGACTTAAGATTTTCAGCTCTTCAAGCTTGGCTCTCTTAGTTCAATCAATTAAATTCAAATGTAGTAAGGTATAAAAGGAATGGTTTTCAGTCTAGAATAGGGAGATGGAGATTGGTTTAGAGAACTTTTCTCTAGAGTTTCTTAAAACATGAACTTGTCATCTTAAGAAAAACCTTATATACCCTTTTTGAAGTTGAACCAACTTAACTCTGACTCAATTATCTTAGAAACAATCTAACGCTCAAAGTCCATTGACTCTAGAATTCTAAAACAACAACATTAACAACAACTCATAACTAAACATACAATTAACATATAATTAAATCAAACACCTTAAATTTAATAGTGTTACAATTCCCTCCAACAAGAAAATTTTTCAACTACAAAAATTGACTTACTTGGGAAAAGAAATGGATATTGATCTCTCATCTTGCCTTCTAGCTCCTGTGTAGTCTTGCTAGTGATCACATCTCAAACAAATTTGACAAGACTAATGATTTTGTATGTCAACTATTTCTCTTTATGATCCACAAATGCAACAGGTAACTTCTCATAAGTCAAATTCTCCTTCACTTGAACCACATCATGCTCCACTACATACTTGGGTCATAAATGTGCTTCCTCAATTGGGATACATGGAACACATTCTATAGGTTAGGCAAGAATGATGACAATGACAACTAATAAGCCATTGGACCTACACGGCGAAGGATCAAATAAGAACTAGTGAATCTCAATGTCAACTTCTTACACCTCATCGCCCTTCCCACTCTAATAATGGGTGTCACCTTCAGAAAGACATGTTCCTCTTCCTCAAACTCTAGAGGCTTGCTCATCCTATCAAGATATGATTTTTGCATACTCTAGGCATTCTTCATTCTTTCCTGAATCTACTTCACTTTCTATATAGTCTATATAACTAACTCTAACCCTATAACAATTGACTCTCCTTCCTTGTATCAGCATAGAGAAGTTCTACATCTTCTCCCATACAACACCTCAAAAGGTGTCATGCCAATGCTAGCATGAAAACTATTGTTATATGTGAACTTTCCTAGAGGCAACACTTATTTCCAACTACCCAAACGATCCAGAACACAAGCTCTCAACAAGTCCTCTAGTTATTGGATTGTTCTCTCAAATTTTTCATTTGTCTATGGGTGATAGACTAAACTCAACCTCAACCTTGTTCATAGAGCTCAATACAAACTCTGTCAAAATTTATAAGTAAACCTCAGATCTCTGTCAGAGATAATTAGGAATGTTCATCAGATCGAATTAGTCCAATGAACACGACAATTTGAATCGAACCAATTAAATTGGTTTGATTCATTTTGTTTTCGTTCAACCTCAACCAAACCAATTAAAATCGATGTTGATTGGTTTGGATATCAAATTTTCAGATTTTAAATTCGAACCAATCCAAACCAAACCTATTAATTTATATATTATTATTTTTTATTTAGTGAAAAATTAATATGTATGTATCATTTTGAAGACCTTTTTTTGGTTACAATATGTAGATTTTTTATATTCATTTTTTCAAATAATTAAAGAAACTAAGAAGAACTATATTGTAATATATTAAGTTTCATTTTCACACTATGTAATGCATTTGAAATCTTTAAGTAGATTGATAATAAAAAATCAAAATGGATTATATTGCAATCTATCAATTTAGTTAAGTTTTGACAATATATCAATTTAGTTAATGTTGAAAACTCTATTTACTTTGAGAAAAAAATATTTTTTAATTTAAATTTTTAAGAAATTCATTGGATATTCAATGACCCGAACTGAACTAACCCAATCAACGTCGAATTAGTTCGATTTAGGTTAAGCAAACAAAATTATGAAATCTGAACCAATTCAAACCAATTAATTTGAATTGGTTTGGATTGTATTTTTACCCAAATCTGAAGGAACCTAACCACTTAACACCCCTAGAGATAATACCAGAGGATATTCCATGCAACTGTATTATCTTCCTGATATACAATTGTGTGAGTTTCTCCGAGAACCAATTCTTGTTAATAGGAAGAAAATATATACATTTTTTCAACCTATCAACAATTACCCAAATATTATTATTGTTCCAATTAGATCTAGGAAACCCAACTATTGTTCCATCATATCTCTCTTTATATCACATATTTAATTTATTTAGTTATTTAATTATAATTTACGTGCATGATTTATCAATTTAATTAATTAAATTGTCCAACCTAGTCTTAGATAGTTTAATATTTAAAACATACCACCTACTCATATATAACAAAATAATAATAATAATAATAATAATAATAATAATAATAATAATAATAATAACTCCTCTACTCATACATTAAACAAAACAATTTTAAGAAATAACTCATTAAAAATGTCTTGAAACGATTTTGTTAACCATTACTCCCCTCGTTTTTTTTGTTTGACGTTTAAGGTTATGCACAAGAATTAAAAAAATGATTGATATTTTAGTTTTTCAAAGTATTTATTACTTATTTTTCTATTATACTCTTTAGGTGGTTAGAGAAGAAATAAGTACAATAAAAAATGAATAAATACATTATTTGTTTAGTAAACACACTAATTATTAAGAATAAAAATAAAAATAATAATAATAAATTGTTAATTTTAGAAAAGTAAAAATGAAAAAAGAAAAAAATATAATACCAAAACAACTATGAATAAAAAATAGCGAAAGTAACTTTTACACAACATTTAATGCACTAAAGTATTTTGTTTGCAACCATATTATTTAATATTATAAACACATTTTGGTCATAATTATTAATGAAACCTTCTTATTTATTACTTTGGCAGCTATTTAATATTCTTTTAAATAATACTACTTTAAAACATTGATTAATAAAATCTGAATTATGTTGTAAAAAAATTAGAATTTTTATAATTAAAACTTGATTATATATATTTCTTGAGAATCTTGATATATATATATATATAATTATAGTCACGTGTTAATTTTTGGATTTTGTATTAAACAAATAATTTTTTAAAGAAAAAAACACTTGTTCTCTTCAAGAAACAATTATATATATTTGAATTAATAAACTTTAGTTTGATCAATAATTTTTTATAAATATCTAAACTAAAATCATTTTACACCAATTAATTTATTCATCTAACTACTAAAATAAATAACGAGAGACTTGAAATGATATGTGCATGATCTTAAGTTTTAACTGTAATGTAATAATTATACATTTAATAAAAAAATAAAATAATTCATCTAAACATTTAATGAATTAAGTATTTAGTCTATATTTGAATTCATCTATAATCATGTTAAAATACAAGTTAACATGATTGTAAGTAAATGTTGATTTGTTTGATTCTACATTAAGAGATTGATTTTAAATCAGTTACTTTAAATTAATTTGAAGCAATCGTATAATGACGTAAATGGTATAGCATCATGTCTCAACCTTTGTTATATATTATTTTACCTTTAAAAAAAATAAATTCAACATAATGAAATTTATTCGAAATGAGTTTTAGCAAAAGACACGCAGTTATAGAATTTGAAAAAGTGAAGAATGTGGATGGAGAGGTGAGGAGAGGCCGCGATCTTGATCTCTGACCGAATTGACCCCGAACCTCGGAGCTGGAATAGCGTGGGACCCACACACAGACCCCACCAACCGAAGCAAGAAAGAAACATAAAATTTCGATGGCGTGACGGAGAGAGAGAGAGGCAAATCGAATAGAAACGTTTGGAAAGAAATTTGTAACATAAAAGGGAGAAAGAGAGAGAGGGGATGCAAATTCCATGAGCGCAGAAGAGGTGCCTCTTACTCGTCTCGTCATTCACCGTTACGAGTACGACCCCTCCTCTCGCTCTTTCTTCTCTTCCCTTCCTTCATTCCTGCGCCTCTGAAACATGGAGGACACCTTCGTTTTCCAGTGGACCGTTATCAGATCTCTCTTGTCCATCCTTCAGTGGTGGGCCTTCAATGTCACCGTTATCATCGTCAACAAGTGGATCTTCCAGGTTCCTATCATCCAATCAAATTCGCCTCTTCTTTTCTAATTCACCGTATTTCCTTTCTGTTTACGTTCATCATTTCTCCGATGTCCTCCATTTCATTAGATTCCGCCGCTATCATGCTCCACACTCATGCTTCCTGTATAATGAAATTGTCCGAGTGTGCTTTCCATTTCATCAATTGCCATGGCTACTTTTTTTTTATATATATGTTTTTTAATTTATTTTAATATTTCTGTTGATTGCTATTTTTGGCGGCGAATTTTGATTTGTAGAGTTTTGGTTTGGTTGTTGGACGAAATCATTCTTGTGCGTTTGGATCCACTTTTTTTTTTGTGTTTGAAATGGCTTATGAAATTAATAATGAAAGTGATTATTCTCTCGGAATTAATCAAAAACCAAGCGTGAGTCGTGCCTCTTCACTAAACTAGATTGCAATTCGAAAATTGTGCTTCGTTACTGATCTACGTACTCTGGAGGTATTTCAACGTGCACGATGTAGGTTTCTCTTAAATTCTCAAGTTATTAGTCTGGATTTTATTTTATGAGTTTCTCTTTGGCTGTTATAATTTTAATTTAAATCCAGAGGTTCCGAGCTAAGAATATTGTGTGATGTGAATTTAAACATCTGAACCAAAATGTGTGAAAGCTGTACTGTAATGAATTAAAAATGATCGTAACAGGTGGCATGTGCGATTAATTTGTGAACAGTGAGTAATTGTGTCTCTAAATCTTCTAGCTAGAAGTGTATCGTTTTTTTCCCCATGGAGATTTGGTGTGTATATTCTACAAGATTCAATTGTTTTTTGCTGGCCAGAAAAGGTCTGACGGCTTTCTTAGGTTGTATCCCTGGTTCACACAACTCCATTTGGAAGGGAATTATTTTTAATATTCATTTCGTGATGACATTGATTTGTAGAAAAAGTTTTTTATGAGTACCTGAATAATTTTGTTCACCAAATTGTTTAGATCTCCTATGTTTGTGTTCTATCTGTAATGAACAAAAGGTTTATTTATCTTTACCGCTTATATCTGTGTATTTTGGATTCCTTCTTACTCACTTTTACCACCTAAACTTTTTTCTTTCTTGCAGAAATTGGATTTCAAGTTTCCCCTATCAGTTTCCTGTGTCCACTTTATCTGTTCAGCCATTGGAGGATATGTGGTAATTAAGGTGCTGAAGCTTAAACCACTGATAACTGTTGACCCTGAAGATCGCTGGAGAAGAATCTTTCCTATGTCATTTGTATTCTGCATTAACATAGTTCTGGGGAATGTGAGCTTAAGATACATTCCAGTTTCTTTTATGCAGACTATAAAGTCATTCACACCTGCCACCACAGGTAGATTTAATAATCAGTGTTAAGATTTCTGCTACATACATGCTACCTGCTTTATATTGAAACCTGAGGATATTTACAATTTTACATCTGATCTTGGTGAATTGGCACAGTTTTTTTGCAATGGCTAGTGTGGAGGAAGTATTTTGACTGGCGTATTTGGGCTTCTCTTATACCCATTGTTGGAGGGATTCTTCTCACATCTGTAACAGAGCTTAGTTTTAATATGTTTGGATTTTGTGCTGCCTTATTTGGCTGTTTGGCTACATCTACGAAGACTATTCTTGCAGAATCTCTTTTGCATGGATACAAATTTGACAGGTATTGCCTTTATGCTTGCAACTTTATATTTTGGTGTTCTTTCTTTCCTTTCTCTATTTTTAACTCTTTCTGGATTTCCCAGTATGTAGACTTTCCACTTCTTAGTTATTTCCATGTCTCTAATACCTACTCTTTGTTGTGGAAAATGGGTTTTACCTCGTGTATTGCAGTTTTTTATTAACCTTTTCTCCAATGTAGAGTTAGGAATTATTCTGTATTGGAGCTAAGAACATCTCTGGGTACTGCTTATATTGATTGCAGTAAACCAGTCTATCAGTCATAACCAAATGCATATAAGCCAAAATTAATGAATTTCAATGCAATTTTTGAATGGTGGTTTTGTTATAAGGATATATAATGCGTAGAAGGTCCTTTATATGGTGATTGTAATTATTAATAATCAATGTTTGTGTTATTACCGTTATATGATAATACTAAAACTGAAGAGTGCCTTTTGAAGTATAGATATGACACTATTTCATATGCATCTTAATTGGAGCTGTAATGACTTACAAAATAAGTAGATTATCTTATAAAAGCCAGGTAGGTTTAATCAGAATGGTTAATGGAAATAATGCATTTCTATCTTAATGATACTGTTGGGTGTAACTGTGTAAACTTGCTAACTTGCCTAAGAACATGCCTAACCATATTTATGAAAGGTAAACTTCTGCAAAATAACATTTTTTTTAATGCTGGCATTGCACAATGATATTCATGATTCCAGATATATGCATTGAAACAAATGTCCTGGTCTACTATATCTAATAGCTGTGATGAAATCAATTAGTGTTGGATTCTGATGTGTGCTTTTTTGGATGCTTCTGTCCTTTTTTCCAAACTGACTATCCTACATCCACCTATCCATTCCTGGAATATTCTTTAATTCCTTGATTCAAGAAAAAAGATAAAAATGAAGAAAATTGATGCAAGATGATGTGGATCTTGCTTTCCCTCTTTTTTTTTTTCCATTAAAATTCCAAAGGAAGCAATTATATATAGAGTATGAAAATGTTTATTGTTGTTGGCTTGTAGCTAAGCAGTGTGTAGCATGTATGGAAGTATTTCTGATCAGCATCCTTTGAGGTGCTGAGTTTAAATCAGTGTTTCTTAAGTTTCTTTAAGAAACAGAAAATTGTTGTCACTGGCTAACTTGTGAATGGTAATATTTTATTTTTTTTAAGTACTTGAGTGTTTAGGAGGGAGGTTTTACCTCATATTCCAAGGTTGGGGGCATGCATCAAGCCTCGGTAATCTTTACAGCAGTACTTATAGATGACCTACTAATGAAAGTGTGCACCAAGTCACCAACAGGAATTGTACCCAAGACTTTTTTTATGATCAACGATGTTTGATCTCTTGTTATTCCTTGCATTTGTCTTGCATGCTATACTTTGTTTTCCTCGGTTCATGCCTTGATTTCTCTGAATTGCTTTGCCTCGACTTTTCTGCGGTACACAAGCTAACTTTTCTTTTCATGTATCTTAGCATAAACACAGTCTACTACATGGCACCTTTTGCAACCATGATCTTGGCGCTTCCTGCCATGTTACTTGAAGGCAATGGAATCCTTGAATGGTTAAATACTCATCCGTATCCTTGGTCAGCTCTCATCATCATTTTTAGCTCCGGGGTGTTGGCTTTTTGTCTTAACTTCTCCATTTTTTACGTGATTCACTCCACCACTGCTGTAACATTTAATGTTGCCGGAAATCTTAAGGTGAGATCTATCACGCATAGTGCTTCAAACATCATGATTTTCAATTCATGTCTTTCGAGAAACTGTCCATTCAATGCCCGGAGAAGATGTAGCCACATTATATCATCATTTCTACAAGAGATGCCTTTCTCCCTTCCTGCGTTTTGTTTCATTTTGCTTGAACACTTGCTCCCTAATTTCACTGAATTTATTAAAATTTCATTCTTTGACTTTGCATTTTAGTCATTAAGTGCATGGTGGATTATGTTAATGGTGTTCGTGTTAAAGGATAATTGATGTTAGGGTGGCATAGTGGGTAGGGTTGATGGTTAAACGGAACTATGAAATCATACTCCCCCTAGTTTATTTTATTGTGACTTTTGGAATATTTTTGTTTGGTTTGTCATTTTAGAATATTAAGAAAAAGTTAATTACTTTTTCTTTAGTTCTTTTTACTATCTACCTAACTAGTATTATAACGAGCATTTCAGTCAAATAACATTATTTTGTCTCGTTAATTGATGCTAATCAATCGTTTTCTTAAAGAGTATTTCAGGAGAATCATTGTCATGGTAATTGATATTACTAATCAATCATTTTCTTAAAATGGATACCTTACCTTAAACAACTCCAAAATGAGACAGAGCGAGTAATTATTTTGCATTCTTCAAACTATAATCAGAATCATGTGTTTTGTGCAGGTTGCAGTCGCTGTCCTTGTTTCTTGGCTGATATTTAGGAATCCAATTTCATATTTAAATTCTGTTGGATGTGCCGTGACTCTTGTGGGATGTACATTCTATGGGTATGTGAGGCACAAACTATCCCAACAGCCACCAGTCCCAGGAACTCCTCGGACACCCAGGACACCCAGGACCCCTCGGAGTAAGATGGAGTTGCTTCCTCTTGTAAATGATAAATTAGAAGATAAGGTCTAGATCATTTAGCTGCGTATGATGTTTCAGCCTTTTGGAAGGTGCTAATAGGTACAAAAATATTAAAATGACTTTGTTTATTTATTGTTAGATTACCCCCAAAAATTTTAATACAAACTTTCTTTTTTCTTTTACTTTCCTAGTCTCCCATGTCTCTGTCAATTTTCTTTTTATATTTTCCTCCCTCGCGCAGAGGATTTCTTGTCCCCATTTTGCTTTCATATTCCCCCGTTTGATTGTATGCATTGTAAACACACGGACGATTTATTGTTAATTTATTGTTATTTTTTTTAAGTGCAAACGAAATGGATGGACATACCTACAACAATAATTTTGACATATCGACATTAATCGCCTGTTTCTAGCTCAACGTGAACAGCGTTTGAAATTTTCTACTAGTGATTCGACTGCATCTAATTATTTTTTGGTACACAAGATTCTTCATTATTGGTACAAACTGCATCTAATTTACAAAGATTTTAACGTTAAATTGGAATAGGTTACTTATTTTATATTATTATTATTGTATGATACAATTACCGATAAAAGGTTCTGAAATTTAATGACTTTTTTTTACCAGCTCTCTATAACGGAAGAAACTACTATTAAAAGAAATATTATTGTTCACAAGCATGACGATCACAATTTGATTATTTTTACTCGGATGCCATGGTCTTAAACTATGCCACTCTTGACATAGGTACATATAGTTAGAACTAGTTACAGAGTGATAATGATTCTAGATGAGGATGCAAATATTAAGGTTAACTTTACCATTTACCCCTTTTATCCCTTCTAAGATCTGAACTAGCAGCAACTGTATTTTCAATCTAAGCTAAAAGCCAGAAGTTCTTCTGCCACCTAGTGCTGATAAGGTATCCATTGCCCTGGCTTCTCTTCCTCACTCCAATTGTCAAGCACTCTGCCTTGTTGATGCAATGCTCCACAAACTCCTCTGTATCACTGCTTCCGCCGCTTCCACAAAGACTAAAAAATAATGATAAACTCATTAAATTGCAAACACTGAAATGCTTAAAACCTCAAACTCTGAGTGGCGAGAAATTTTAAAATTTGATATTAAAGGTTGCTGGTGCTTGCATTTGTGTGGATGACAGGACTCTCACCAGCTTAAAAAAGAAGATGGCTTCTTTTGGCCCAGTACCAGGACAGAGACCTCCAGCTTCTTTACTTGGCTCATAACTGTGGCCAGTTTTGGTCCTTGGATTACGAGCGCTTCCACTTCCACCTATGTCAGACCATAACTTATCAGTAACTCTTTTTTCAATGAGGGAAGGGAAGTGGAACAACAGAGGAAGAACTGTGAAAAGAAAAGCTGAAGCATCTGAATGTTTCTCATGATATCTCTCTGAAAAGTAAAAATAAAAGGGACTAATGCAAGAAGCCAAAACCGTTTGCCTTCAAAAGAAAATTAAAGTTGGAAAAGAAATACTTGTTAACAGAAAAAAGGGAAAGGGTCTTCCTATTCCACTATTATTGAACTGCATTGAAAACTCAGACCTATTTGAATCAAGATCTACCAAGCACAATGACTATCCTTGACCTCTCAAGATGCAAAGAAAGGAAACTGGAGAAAAGAACATAGTTACGGTTCTCTATGCATGAACTAAGTAAATGAAAGTAAAGGGTAACAAACAAATTATCCTTGCCACAAACATAACCAACTTACCCCTGGCTTGCAATCTTTGCAAAGGGACCCAAGATAATTGACAAGATAAGAGGAGCATGAAGTTTCAGAGCCCCTGTGTGGAGGGACAACAAGAAGCAGAGTCAAAGAATCACCCTTATTAGCTACATGAGTGAGTGCCCACATCATTGCATGCTTGGAGTGTGAAGTACCATCAACCACCACCATCACCCTCTTCCTCCCCATAATCCCACTCTCCCCATTACCATGCATGTTAAACCCTTCCATTTGATTCAAACTTGTCTCACACCCTCCCCAGTCACTGCTAATATAACTCCCTTTCCCACTCCACCGGTTGGACGTTGATTTCCAAGCCTCCTTTGCACTTAACTGTCTCAAAAACGAAGCTGAAGAACTGAGCATTGATCTCTCTTGAACAACTCACCACTTTGCTTATCCAACCACAAGTGTACTATTGTACAATTATTACCACATAAAGTGGGGATAGGGTGCTAGAGTGTAGCAGAGGTTTTGTTTGACAGATTACTATAGCTGGGAAACACACTTGCTAGTTCCTAGAGAGAGAGAGAGAGAGAGAGAGAGGAGCAGTAGGTAGAGGATGATGTAGGGGGGAATACGTGGGTAATGCAAATTGCGAAGTTGGGGGCTTTTATTTTTGTTCAGATTAAAGTGTCACGGGAATCTGTGGTTTGTTTAGTGCATGATGCAAAATAGGATCTTTCTGAAATCTTCTTCATCTATTCCAGAATCTTTTGTACCATTGTAGTAATACTTGTTTGGTCATCATAAACTGGCTCGTTAAGTATGTCTACGTAATAATAATAAATAACAAATTACCCATAACCATATGATGGGTTACCTCATGCCACATGATGTAAAGTGGTCCATCAAAAAGACTTATCCTCAGCTCTCAATGCCATTAGTCACTGGTCAGATCTCTAATGTAAATAAATGAATAGAGTCGAGATTTTGGAGGCAAATTCTTGGACTTAAAATGCAATGTTTGCATCATACTCATGTTGCATTTAATCTCATTAGAAACAAGTTTGATGCGTTATAAGTAAAATGGATATGGTTTTAAAAATCATCAACTTTTAATCACAATTATGTTAAATCCGAAAAAATATTACTAATTCAAATTCACATTTATTATTTGAATGAACAATTAATAGTCTCTCTTCTGATCTCTTACATTATTACTATTAGAAGGTGATATAAATGCAACCACTTTCACCAAAGCAGTTTCACGAATAGAGCTTGCCTGGGGAATATGTGTGTATTTAGATTAGATCAATTTCTTTTTCTCTTATCAAAAAGACTACTGTATTACGTATCTCTTATCCGTGTCTTTAGATCTTCGAAGGTTAATGTATATAAATTAAAAAATATTTAACGAAGGAGGTAATAATTTGGTAGGATTGAAAATAGTAGTAGTAAACATTTCTTTAAAATGTGATCATATTTCTCCTCCTACCCAATAAAAAGAAAAACAAAAAATATATCACTACTTATAAGAATTATCGAAGTGAAATACAATCACATATATCATCCTTTATAACTGATATTAGGAAGATTTGGAAGGTATAAGACTATAAGTATAACTATAATGAAACAGAATTAAATGGCATGACAAGTGCATCGAAGATTTCATTGCACAAATTTTATAATAAAATAATAGTGTTTGTTTACTTCTCATTCACTCGTCAGAGGTCAGAAAGCAGTAAAGAATCGGGACCTGACAGGCTATAATAATAACAAAATTGAAAAAGATTAAAATAATGAAAGGGTTTATATTAAGATGATGAGTTATTTATTTATGCATATAAAGGAAAGAGTGTCAGA